GCTGGTTAAGTGCTATCTGAGTGTGACCAAGCACTGATGACAGTTTAAGCTAGTGTTGCGAAAAAATTTTTCATGTGCCCTAGTAACTTTTTGTTTTAAACCCAGATTGATAACCGGCATCTTTTTCTTGGCTTCAGTACCAAGTTCATTTTAAATGTCAGATTGGATAGCTGATCACAAAGCTTATATTACGTTATATTATGCGTAGATATATCAATTAGTTTGGATCAGTCATGTAATTAAATTTGTATTAGTTCTACACTAACAATAATAAATCCGCGCGATGAGAGATTTTTATCAATTGTTTTTGTTTAGCGCAATTTCCACTTGTTTGGACCAGCTGTAAAGGGGCAGGGGACATCTGTTTGATCGCTTGTTAAATGCATTTATATAAAAAAATAATAATAAAGGTGAAAGACCAATAATCGCTTATGAAAATAGGTTTTATAGTTAGCTTCAAACATTAACCCTTAAAATGCGTGTGGTAGTTTAGCCTCTAAACATCATAATTGTTATTCCAATTTTTATGCACTCATTGTAAAACAGCTCAGCACTTTAAGGGTTAAAGCGGCGACCTACAAGTATAAAGGGGCTTAATTCAACCTACACCAACACATCAGTACAATTTCCTCCCCTTGTTCGAGATACAAAACATAGTTAATTGGCTAATTTTTAAAATTAATTCTTGTTTTCAGGTACAAGAAAAAATTGTGCGAAATGTAAAATTTCCGATTGATTCCAAATTTTGGGATGTGGGAGAAATATTTACAAATTTTGACCAGACAGCTTTGTAAAAAGGTGAATAAGATAAGACGTGCAAGTGGTCTTTCTTTTAAATATAATACATACTTATATTAAACATAAATGAATAGCAGCACCAGGGACCAAGTTTTTAAGAGAGAAAGTAGTGAATTAAATGCTACGAAAATAAGGGAATGCGCCGACCGAGGCTCGAACCAGTGACCCTGGAAACACCTGATTTTCGATTCACTACTTTCTCTCTTAAAAACTAGGTCCCTGTTGCTACTATTCATTTATGTTTAATATAAGTATGTATCACATTTGTTTCAGCACCTAGCTTCAACTCTATATTTACGTTCTTTTAAATATGATTGTGTTGGCCTCCTTCAGGGCTATGGCTATTCTGGGCTATGGCTAGTATCATTTCGGCTTTCACCTAACATTAGGTATGATCGAAAGAATTTTCCCCACACACATCAGTTCCTCACTCACCTGTGTCCAAACAAACGTCATGTACTCGAAACAGTTTGAAATGATTTAATCTTACAAAATAATATTGTAGCAATAGCGACTAACATTAAGTGGATTCCATTCAAGCATCTGAAAGAGTATGGGCCTCCACGAAAAAGGTGCACATTGTCTCCACAAAAAAAAGGTGCACATTGTCTCCACAAAAAAAGGTGCACATTGTCTTTACAAAAAAGTTGCCTCCACAAAAAATTGTGCACACTGCCTGCACTTACTTCCATCCTGTCCTACTGCTTCTCCCTACATGGAGCTTGGGTGTATAGAGATATGTATTACAGAGCTGAAACCAGAGGGTTTGTAAAGATAAACAACGGTTTTCATTATTTTTTTGTGTGTGCAGAAGATAATAATATGGAATTATCCTTTTTTTGTTGTTGTTGTGTACTTCTAATATAAATCCATCCACCCCAGTGGCGCTACAGGCCAAAGAAGGGCTCTGGTCTGCTTTATATAAATAACCAATATAAATAGTCTTTTGCTCAAGCCTTCCAAAAAATATGGTTAGACAATGAAACTGCCCCTTAAACTCTCCAAACATAAAATTACAGTTTTAGTATATGTGTTCAGATTGAGGTAAATCTCGCACGCACGCACACACGAGCGCACACGCACACACACACACTTTTAATGATTTTAAAGGTAGCTCCGGTAACATTCTGAATGTCGGACACTTTATAAAAAGGCATGCTATTTCATTATCCCTGCAAGCTGTATTTGCATATTTACTTTTCTAACTAGGTCTTATAAAAAAAGTACTCCACGAAAAATGTGTTAGGAAATATGGTGTAGTTTACAAAAATGGCAGATATAGCCGAAAAAAAATGGAGTCCGTTATAAACATTTCATTTTTATTTCCAGAAGGTAAATAAAAGAATTATAAAATATTTTTTCTTTCCTCGATAAAAGTATTTATGAAGATGGGTTGGATTCTTGCTATTAAGACTATACAAAATACTCGCGGCCAAAATATCCTCAGTCAGATCGCTGCCATATATCAACATAGCAACAGCGATAAAGTATCGCGTAGATCTGTATACTTTCAGATGTTATTCTATAAAGTTGCGATTCGGCTATTACATGTAATTTAATATATTACAAAGTATAGAGAGCAAACATAATATTCAAATGTACTAACAAAGGGTGATGTTTTATCACGAGTGACGCAACCAAAGACATAAGTGTGTACACGTTCAATCACAACATACTATTAGAACAAAAATTTAAAAGTTGTTCGAACAATTTATTTTATTGTGCTTACTGCTCAAGTTGCTGAAAATACCTTTTTTTAAAAAAAAAATCCATTACCTCCCTTTGTCTTCAAAATGATTTCACCTCTCACTCTTTCAGGGCTTTTTATCTTAGCACGAAGCTAGAGAGTAGTTATCTAGTATTAAAATGTATAGGGTAAGTAGTTTTAAACTTCTAAATCAGTTTGAGTTGAAATTGCACGTTCTGAAGTATTGTACACGCACTCATCCCAGCAAAACGAATGCATACATTGGCAGGATTAGATCAGGATTAGGCCCAAAAACTGAGATAGGAATAAATCTAAAAAGCATTGCTCCAGTTTAAACTTTTTTTCTTCACTACTATAAATTTGTATGACAATTTAACTATTCCATTCTATTCACAAACCTTAATGTAGCCAGATTATACCATTATGCAGCCGAATCTTGTGCAGTCTGTGTTGGCGTCAAATTACGCAGCAATAAAAAAGTCAGTCATTCTACTTGTCTCCCTTTGTGTTCGCTTTGTAATATGTAAATGCTGAAAGATATACCACACATACAGGCAACCCTTATGTTTTCGATTTAAGTTGTATTTTAAAACATTTACAATGTCACCAATTTTGTAACAGCAATATACATTTTAAAGACATTCTGATACAAAATTTGTTAAGTGAGACACTACACAATTTTTCTTCAGGTTCCATCACAAATGTTCATCCTTATTAAAAAAAAAAAAAAAAAAAAAAAAAAAAAAAAAAAGTTAATGCAAATTTCTCAAAACTTAATTCTATTTCTAGGGAACTAACAATACAAGTAAAGTAAACACAGTACACATATTTTATTGAAAGTAATACCTCAAGAACATTTTTTCTTTAAAAATTCCACAATTTTTATATTCCAAAAAGTCGTTCAGAATCATCCTCATTGGTTCATAATGTAAAGAATCATCACCAGAAAACCAATAGCTGCATAACCTATGGATACTTAAGATTGTAACGACCTGGGTACTTAATTAGAGGGTAACGACCTGAGTACTTCAGTAGAGTGTAACGACCTGGGTACTTAATTAAATAACAACCCGGGTACTTAATTAAATGATAACAACCCGGGTACTTAATAGATGCATAGATGGTAACACAACCTTTAATATAAATATTAGTAAGATTTCAATACCGACATTTATCAAGATATGAAACTAGCTGCTAAGATATTCTCTTGAGCATGCTTTTGTCTAATCAAATTCCTTTTCAACCTTTTTCTTTGAACAGATTATCTTTTGTCAATATTGCATACTTCTTGCGTTGTTTAAAAAAAACTTTCATCCTGGGTTATGCGCTTTTCGTACATATTTTAGACTGCTCAACTAAACAAAATTTCTAACCAGAACTTCTACTTTTTGTTTAAATGTTTGGTGACCATTTATCTTTTAAGTTACAGATGTTACTTCAAAAGAGAAAATTACGCCCTACGCATTTCACGTGTCAATCTAGTCATGCATGTTAATCAGTGACTTAAGTTAGGACCAGGTTTAGCTCTGTGACATACTAGACGAAAGGACCCAAGTATGATTGTACATCGCAATGAATGTAAAATTTTAAGTGTAAAAAGGGAATTAACTTAATCCATTTCTACCCGCGATGCTATTGCTTTAAAAAAAAATGTTATTTTGTGTGTGTGTTTGCAAATAGTTTTTCAAGATGCCTGTGTGTAGTCACTGAATGAACTCTTTATGTTGTCTGTTCTATTTATATGTATGTTTATGTTGTGTTTATCTGTACATGAGAAAAGAGTCCTTGTAATCACAACAAATTTCCATAAGGATGAATAAAGCAGTCTTAGTCTTAAATCTAGTTTTGAAAACGATAAATACTTGAGTCAGACGATGTATCTAGGTAGTGTTTTTCTCTTGAGTGAATATTCTCCTAAACATGACTGCATTTTCATGAAATGTATCCATCATTGTAATAATTTGTCCATCATTGTAATAATTTGTCCCCTTTAACAGTGTGCACTGAGAAATTGGTCTGCAGTATCTCCCTCTGACTGGCAAGGAGAATCTTCATAGAGATGTTAAGGGCCTTAAAGGTATCTGTGAGGTCAGTTATCATTATCCCCTCTGTTGTTAATATATTATTTTAGACAACTTCCATAACGGCTTAATCTCCAAGCCTAGGTTCCCATCATTTCTTTATTTTTTTTTTCCATTTCATTTTTCTTAAATTATGAGACAGTGGTACGGCAATGTCCATGATGGTAGCGGGTTTTCTATTTTTGTCCATAAATGTAGAGTTGGGACGATTAAAATCTATTTTCAGTCAAAAGAGGGTCTATCATAGTTAAAAAAGTGAGCTGTTGACTCGAACCTCTTCTGGAGAATATTTGTAATAAAAAGGAGTATCCTTATTAATCAAATTATGTGTCAAAGCCAAGTGTTGGTGTATTATTTTTATTATTATTATGCGTAAACGCAATGAAAGAGACATTACTATGGCAGTTGTGCATGGTGGGTGTTTACCAAGGTGGTGCAGTTTACCTCCCTTGCCATCACCGGGTATACATTCATCCGCGTACGGCTTGCAAACAGTGCTGCAAAATGTCTCTTAGCTCTGAATTTTGAATTTTTTTCATTTTAAACTAATAATTAAAGTTTCTGTTAACATAATTAAATTATATATGGCCTCGTTCAGTCCCGCAGTTGCTATTGATCATCGCATAGGAAGGAGATAAAAGTCTCAGCATTAGTCGGAACGGTATTGCTCTCACAGCAGTTCTCCCGCTCTCCACGTTGCTGGTGTGTCCACATAAATCCACGCAGCTGGTGTGTCCACATAAATTCACGCAGCTGGCATGTCCACATAAATCCACGCAGATGAGTCCAAATAAGCATTTGTCGATGCCGTTGGGATTAGATGTGTTCCAAGCTCTGCCAGGGTGTAGCACTATGTCCAGCGTGCTGCTTAAAGCCACCAGCAGGGACGGTTTCTAAAAATGAATAATTATAGTACATCACAATCTTAGTCCGAATAAAAAAAAACTTTATTACATGATTTTTAAATTAGTTGAAATGTCTAAACGAGTAAAATGTAACACTTGAAAATGGAGCGCAATGAACAGTTCACATTAAAAAATAGTTGTGACACCTTATAAATAAATGCTGCTAGTAAGATCATGGCCAACAGAGAAAACGCACTTGGCCACCTGTTTGAGAAAAACATTGCTAAGAAAGCTAAGATTTTTAAGCATAAATCTTCATGATTTTAACATTTTATCATCACTAAGAAGATAGATAACACCGAACACAAAAACAGACACATGAGCTCTTTTGTTCCTTTGGCAATGAATCGTTGAACAATATGTAACTTACTGTTGTAAAATTTCGCATGTAATGTTAAAAAGAAACTGTATATGAACGAATATCTTGTGTGCTATTGTACAAATGTTTGCCCTAATTATGTATTGATTTTTTTGTAATGCGCAATTGTAAAACAAATTTCCTCACGGACAATAAAGATCATTATTATTATGTGTCCGAATTAAATTCTAGTAGAACGTATATTTCAATAGCCATCAACATGAGGAAGGAATATATAAAATTCTTTAGGTACGAACTTGTTTGACAAAGTGGCCTGTTTGGAGGCATCCCTACCGCCCCCATCTGTCCCTGACTACTGGACATTTGCCCGAATGCGAATAAAGCCAGGTCCGTCCCTGGATATAGCCAGTCCTCCCCTAGTCGCGAGCTTCTTTTTTTTTACACACATTCTCTCCTAACTAATGATACCAACGTTGATTTGACCCCATTAAATTGACTTAAATTTTGGTTTTATAAACTTTAATTTGTGTTATATAAACAGAGCATGCATTCGTCTATAATTATATACATATAACATTTCCTGATTACATACAAACAAGTTATTGAAGTTTAATCATAACAGGGGAGTGAAACACAAATGAACAAAATGAATAATTCCATCGAAACGTGGAAAAAAATAACGGAGAGAAAGAGTTAAGGGCTCATTCCCGAAGTCCTTTCCATGTTTGGGAATATCCGCAAAGCAGCGCACGTTCAGATTCAGTTTTCCCTCTCCAAGTGGATAGCAAGCCGAATTTAACGAGCATACCCGGCCCGATGCTTACTGGTTTAGGTGCCAGATGCTCGCACTGTGCCCTTTCTCCTTTCAGCAAGGAGATGAGTTACACACGTTAGTCACGCGTCAGAGGCTGCTTGAGACGCACACCATAGGAGCATAAGCATTTTATAGATGGTGTATTTTCAGTAAATATCTTTGTGCTAAGTTACACTTGATGCTTCTCCTAAACTCTTAACCACAAATTATTAACTTCCTATATTTGTAGCAAATACTTTATCGTGTCTGTTACAACTATTAATTCTAACTTTAAAAATACACCTCTTTACCCTTAAACCTATAAACTAAAAATAAACAAAATAGAAATTAGAGATTGGAAACGAACCCGAATCGAACCCGAACCTCACTTATGACTGAACTGATGGGTACGAACCGAACCGAATGAAATGTCCTTACATTAACCGAACTGAAGACTGCATTTTTTTTTGTAAGAAAAAAACTTAGTTTTCAGCGAAATGATTTGACAGTTATTTTATTCGTAGAAACTTCTGCTGCTGTCTTGAGCTGACCCGTGTCCCTAACATCTTGTTCATGCATCGAAATGTGGCGTACTATTTAATATCTTGGTTTTAATGCGAGATTTGATGAAACGAGCAGTAGACTCTGAATTCAAAACTGACCAGTAAATGTGGACGTTTTGGTGGAGCAATATGTTTGATCTTGTATTAGAGTTGTTTGGGACTGTTTCTATAGAATGTAACGTTGAATTGCATTATGAAATTAAAAAAACATAAACAAATATGGCGGCATTCTTAGTTTGAGCATGGGTCTATACAAATGGTTTGAGCATTTGAACGACGGAGTAAATATTGCTAAGTAACGCCTAGAGAATTGACGAGAATATTTACCTAGAAGGAACGGGAAAATGAGTCGGCGGTAAGGGCGTGCTATTTTAAGTAGTGAAATGAAGCCTTTTTTTTTTATCGACGGCCAAAAAAAAAAGGGGGGGGGGTTCACTGATGGAAGAAATGTGTGATTTAATAAGAATGCAGTTGAAGTCGCCATTTTCTTTTTCTCCTTACAGAAAAACATCTAGATTTAGTGCTTCGACATGGTGTCTCATCAATGCAGATCTTCAGAAGTTGGTTTTGAAAGACTTCCAATATCCCATGAATTAGTGTAAATGTTATATCAGCGGTGGCTGAGTGGTAAAGCAAAACGAGGGTCCCGAGTTCCAATTCTGATGAAGACTGGGATTTTTTATTTCCGGATCTTTAGGACGCCTTTGAGTCCACCCAACTCTATTCGGTATTGAAACTAAAGGTGGTTGGTCGTTGTGCTGGCCAAATGATGCCCTCGTTACCTTCGGACGCAGAAACAGATTACTTTTTCATCACCTTCCCTGTAGATTGCAAGGTTTGGAAGGTCCGAAGGAGAACTTTGTAAAAAATTAGTATTTTAATATCCATAGCTTTAAGTTTATTTTGTTTTTATTTTCTGTTTAGTGATCTACGCACGACAGTTGGAAATTAAAATTTCTCCCAAGCCAAATTAGGTGATTTGGCATAAATAATAAATAATGGAATTAAACATTATCACATGTTCATCAGACCGAACCCGAACTTTAGATCTGACCTAACCGAATCCGATCTATACTCATCGAACCGAACTCAAATCTGACCGAACCGAACCCGAACTTTAAAAGTTGTTATTGTTATTATTTATAAAATTAGGTCTTCTAAAATAGTACATACAAGAATCACTAATTGAAAAAAGGATTTGGGGTAACATTTTTACCATTGCCTTGCTTGGACTTGTTCGGTCCTGGTGTTTTTATCTCCGGTTTGTTTCTGTTGTGGCCTCGCCCTCTAATGATTGTCCCATTATTTCCTTAGTCTCGAGTTGTAGTTGCTCCTGGTCAGTGGCGTATCAAGGTACTCGTACGCCCGGGTTCAAGAATATGTTAGTGCCCCCCACCCCCTGTTTCCAATAAGACAAATTTAGCGTGTGACAAAATATCGAGTAGTCTGTATGCTTTCCTACATTTTCCTGGTTATAAAGTCATTCCGTTTGATTCAGTTCTGACTCCGTTCAAGTAACAGTGTCTTAAAACTCAATGTCTGAATAGCTTCTAACGACATGAAATGTTTCAAATAAACAAACAGCTATATTCGATTTTATCCCGTTACAAACATTTACCTTCAGAAAATATATAGGTCTGTGTCAAACTATTAAACGTTGATAAAACGTTAATCTAGTTCTTTGTAAATCAATTAACAGTAAATGGATCTCACACGTATTTATTGGAAATTAGTTTTTCTGGTCTTCTGGCTAGCAACGTCCAAAATCATCAGGCATGCGTTCTACATTTTTCGCTCAATTGAAACATTTACTGAAAGCCAACTTATAAGTGAAACCAACTTGCTCTGTGTCTTAGAACCTTTTTTTTTATCAATTGAAACTTCGAGAATGGCCGAAGCATAGAGAATGGCCGAAACTTCGAGAATGGACGAAACTTTGAGAATGGTCGAAACTTTAAAAATGGTCGAACTTTGAGAATGGTCGAAACTTTGAGAATGGTCGAAACTTTGAGAATGGTCGAAACTTTGAGAATGGTCGAAACTTTGAGAATGGTCGAAACTTTGAGAATGGTCGAAACTTTGAGAATGGTCGAAACTTTGAGAATGGTCGAAACTTTGAGAATGGTCGAAACTTTGAGAATGGTCGAAACTTCTAGAATAGCCGAAACTTCTAGAATAGCCGAAACTTTGAGAATGACTGCTCTTCTGAACAAACTAACACTTGCAAAGTGAGAAATAACATGCATGATTTTTAAACAGTCAAATTTCGTATTGAGCAAAGATTTGGTAAGTTTTTTTTTTGTTGTTGTTTTTTTTTGACAGGCTTCTTTGCAAAGGTGGCCTTAGCAGTGCGTGGGGCCCTGGGCGAATGTCATATGAGGGGCCCTGGGCCGTAAGGGAAGACTATATATATCGTACCACGTCACGATATCGGGATCGTGCGCCTCTAACGCCGAAGGCCTTACTTTTGTTAGAAAACATACTATCTTACATAAGTACTGTACTTTTAACTACATAAACTCGAAGTTTTTTCCACCGTAAAGTCTGGATCAAGGAAGGAGATTATCTTCAGCTCTGACGGAGCATCCGAAACATTTAATCATTTGATAAACATTTTAACAAGATTTACAGAAACCTCTTGCCGCTGAAGTTTATTATCAAGATGTTTTCAGTCGAGGCAGCTTTCATTTGCTTATTGGTCTCCAGTAGCTCTCGTGCCTAACAACTTAATAGAAAAAGAAAATGCCGCCCTTAGCCTTTGGTGTAAGAACAAAGTGTACAGTGGTCCATTGACTTTCGCAGATCCAACTTTTCAAGGAAAATTTAATATTTTTCTTGTACACTGAAACACAGGTTTTCACGACAACCCGATGTATACGCACAGTAGCCTATTGGAG